TATAATTGTACTGATATGCGGCTGTGCCAATAAAGATGGTAAAATTGCTGTAATTCATTCCAAACATCCACTGTTTTAAAAATGTTTTAAACTTGTAAAACTCATTCTTGATCACATTTGATGATGATGACTGATGATCACAAAGAGCTCATTTTACAACATACTAGAGTTTAGCAGTTGAGTATCACCATATTTTAATCCATTCAGCCCATCTCCAGATCTAGCCGGAGCACTATTAGCCTAGTTAGAATAAACCATTGAATTGGATTAGACCATTAGCATCTAGCATCTAAAAGCGTTTGATTTTACAATTTTACCAGTGAAAACAAATGGTTTAATAATATTGTCAATGACAGACAGGGCTCGAAATTGCGACCATTTTGGTCGCATATGCGCCCGAAAATTAATCTATGCGACCTCATAATATATTTGGGCGCATTACTGCGACTGCAGATAATGGTTGTAGTGAGACCTGTTTTGATTTTTTGTAAAAACGTGCTGAATCGCTCCTCCCTGCCGCTATATTGGTTCATATTAGCTGTCATTCACTCAAGGTATTCCGCTGTCAGATGACAGGGAAGGAGCTTTTATGACCACGGGAAATGCAAACAGCTGAAGTGAAAACTTAAAGCAAACAGGTTTGCAAACCCCACCTAAAGTTGAGACGCAGATGAAAGCTATCATGACAGGTCACGTGGTGAATAATGATCCGCCAGCTGAGATCAATCGAGTACGCGCTTCTTGGAGAAGGTGCCCAAATCTCCATGCGTTGCATTCACTGCGTGTTCAGCGCAAATGTCTGCTAAAAGTCAAATCTAATACTGTACATATCATCGCCAAAGAAGCTCGCCTTTACTAAGTTTACACTGAAACTGCGGCTCATAACAAAGACCGGTATTGCGCCGATGGTTAGCGTAGAGTCCTGCTCTGCCTGCTCATAAATTGGGTCAGCTGACTCGCCAGCTTTTCCACTAACACAGAAAAATGAAGATCAGCTCAGACTGAACCTTTAAATTGACACAAACTGAAACCAAAACTTTTAAAGAGTGATAGAAGTGAGACTTAACTTATGGCTACTTTCTTTTGTCTATTCTTTTTTGAGGTGTATATTTTTTTTTTATTTACTGATGACTGCTTTGCAGCTTTCATCATTGAATTGAATGATATATTATAATCTTTTGTTTGTTTTGTAGCAGAAATATTGTTTATTAAATTGACATGCATATAAGAACAGCAGTACAAAATCAATATTTCTTACTGCAATGCTTCATTTTTGTTTGATGCAAACTACAATTATTTTTCATAAAGTAACAGACTTTTTATAGCAGATAACCTACATTCATGCACATTCAAGGCAGTATCATAATGAGAAATGGAATTCATTGTTACTATTATTGTCATTTTTTTATCATCACTAATATTCTATAGCCTAATTATTAGACATTTATTTTGGAATTATTTTACACAAATATCAATATCTTCGCAGCATTAGTTAGATAGTTGTTTCTGGTTTTTGTCAGTCCTATTAATGTTGTTTTAAAATACAATAAATCCCTTAAAAACAATTTGCAGCGGTGCTCATTCATTTTTGGTGGGTGCTCCTAATTTTTTTCTGGTGCTCCTAAAAATTTTTTGGTGCTCCTAAATATTTGAAGTTGGGAGCACCGGTGCTACAAAGTAAAAAAGTTAATTTCGAGCCCTGACAGATGACGAGCACAACTCTTAAACATAATAAATCAACTTGCATAGTTATAATCTGATGTCATCATTTTACTGTGAATTAACAAACAGGAAAGACTGTTCAAGTCCACCATAATGGCTATGAGCAATTTCATGGAAATGTCAAGTTTTCACAAAAATAAAAACATAAACCTTTTCTAGGTTTTTTTGTGCAAGCAAGTATTTTACAGTACTTTTAAAAATACTCAAAAATGTCTCTTTCAATGTTTTAAAACTATTAAATTTGATTTACCAAAGTGAAACAAAGACGTGTCACATCCATAACGACACTTTTTCCTTATAAATGCAAAAATATGAAATAAAATAAAACCAATCATGTTTGTTCTATAGAGAGCCAACTTTTATCCTTTTGATTATCAACATTTCTTTTAAATTGTAGAGTTTAATTCACAGAATTTCTACAAAGCATTTTGTATAAGCGCTATAAGCGCTTGTAAAAGCGCAATACAAATAAAGGTGAATTGATTTGAAAGTATACTGTAAACTGGCAGACTTTTTTGGTCACATCCATAACACATGTTAATTTTCCTCATTTAAAGTACAAAACATGTTTACAGATTGAGATTTTTCTGGTTCCTTAACTTTGTGGTCAGTTGTTTTGGAAAATATAAACAGATGTTTCAATATAATGTTAGCATATACTTTCTCTGTGAATTTATATTTTTGTTTTTACTGCAAATATCACATCCATAACGCTGGAATTGCTCCTATACAAAATTTAGCATTTTAACCAACATTAGACCTACACATAGGCCTAATATTATTAGTGTTGTTCTACCATATGTTTGAGAATCAACAATAACAACAGGCAAATTGTATTAACCTTTATTTTACATTTACAGAATCGTGAGAAAATCGTGATCTAGATTTTAAGCAAAAATAATCGGCATTCTTATTTTAGCCAGAACCGTGCAGCCCTAATGCTAAGTAAAAAAGTGCTATCGTCAGACCAGGACACTGGCTGAATGGATTAAAAAAGGGTAAATCTCATTACCTCTACTTAACTTATTAACTCAAGGTTACCTATAAAAATGCCTATTTCCAAAAAAGTGGAGTGCTCCTTTAAATGAAAGCAATATATTAATCAATTGCCAATCTGGGTACTTGACATGTCAACAAAGGAGTCTATAAAAACAAATAACATTAAATTCTGGTCAAAACAAAAGAAACATAAAATAGGGAAATATGACAAAAGGCCAGGAAGGCCTGTCCAAATACACAGAGCAACACTTGCTCCCTGTCTAGAAGTAAACAGACACAGAAGCACAGGTCACTACATGCCCATCTAAACATGCACCCCGTGACCTTATCAGTTTAAATGAACGGATTCTTGCAGAAAACATGGAAGATTTTCCACACAATGACTCACCCAGTGCACTGCACTGCATCTTGTTTGGAATAAATTGGATTTTTTGATAGCACTCATTATGTGAATGAAATATAAAAGGTCTTTATAATGGATTGTAACTGTGAGAGGAGGGGGTGGATTCAAAAATAATGACTAGAGTACCAAGCATTTTCAACTTATTTTAACAATAGTTTAAATGCCAAAGATCTGATGGTCAGGTTGGTCAGATTTTAAATAAAGATTAACAAAACTTTTTTTTTTACTTAGACACTACCCCCCCCCCCCCCATAGTTACTTGTTTACCTTTAGACTAACAACGTGTGATAGCAAATTAAACATTGTATAATTTGATGTCATGCAGACTTTAATACGTTAGAAAATATTTTAACTTATTATATTTTAAATATTTTATATCCAGAATGATGGTTTGTATTTAAAAATTGTGTGTGTGTGTGTGTATATATATATATATATATATATATATATATATATATATATATATAACGCGTAATAGTATAAAAATGATGTGTCATGTGCATGTATATCTTTGAGAAATAGTGTAGGTCTATATATTTAGATCTGATTAAAAAAATATATACCATTTATATGCAAATATTAATATAATTCCTATTGTGCATTTGTGTTTTATGATTGTTTGTATTTAAATATGCAAAATAAATATGCACAGTAAGCACATTATGTAAATTTTAAAAAAGTTTTGGTTATGATCAATCATCTGACAACGCTAATGCATGTGTGTGTGTGTGTGTGTGTGTGTGTGTGTGTGTGTGTGTGTGTGTGTGTGTGTGTGTGTGTGTGTGTTTATTATGTTCAGATCAGAATTGGCATGTTCAATGTTCAATGTGTTCATGTTTTTTTGCAACAATAATAATAAATAAGTTACGGTGAAAAACATTGGAACTTTATTTTGCAGATATTTTGTTACATTATATTCTCCACATTATTTAACTTTAATTACATTTAATATGCTCTCCATACATTAAAAATCACTTTTGTAAATTTAATAAGACGTGCACACTAAAACTAGATGTTTCACCTTTCATTCATGTATAACTAAGGAATGATTTATTTTTATGCTTTTGTTGCTTATTTGTCAGCTTTTCATTTGGATGTTTAAATAATGTTAAGATGAATGTTAAAAACTTAAACATGCCTAAGATTTTAATATATAACCAAGTCCCTTTTTTGTATAAACCACATATTTATGCAAGGATGTTTCCATGGAAACCAATGTAGCTATAAATACTACTAATTCAATCGATCAGTTAATCAAGTTTCAGACACTGTTTGGACGAAATGTCACTTTAATGCATCATGAATTTCTATTAGGGTTTAGCCAGAGCCACTAGGTAGAACTATATTAGTGCTATGCAAATTTGCAGGTTACCATGGTAAAGTTTTATAAGGGCATCCAGAGCCGATCGTATTTCTGCTGAGTTTTTATTTCTCTCTCTCTGTGGCAAGAACACAGAGAAAATAAATGACCTTCCGATTTTAATCCAAATGCGTTGTTTAAATGTTTAGTATAAAATGATCAGTTGTACACAAGCCTTTAGTGGAAAAAGACCAAACACGAGTTTTACTTAAAAAAGAAGCAGTTTTACACAGGAACTCCGAAAAAAGTAGTCCGTAACCGATTCTTGATAAATACGAACATCATATGTTAATGCACTAACGTCGAGATGAAGATTCTGTCGTTATTTATGATATTTTGGAACACTTTGCAACAAAATAAACCTTCTACGATGACAGTTTCTGTGAGCGGAGCATAACATCTTAGCGAAGCCGAATATCAACACTAATGTGACAGCAAAGGTGAAACTAAAGTTGAGGGCCTAAACTAAGCTCAGCGGAGGCTCAACGCCCTTCGCACCTTGTGTCGTGAATGTACCTGAAGCAGGTGTTACTCCTGGCCGCAGGTGAGGCGAGCGTCCGCGATGTCCTTTCATTCGCTTGAGGAAGGAGAAAAACTTAGTAAATCCTTTAACTTCAGTCTCACTCACTCTTCATCTACTATTTGTGGTCTTTTAACCGACACAGGAACTTTGTTCAAAATCAACTCGACTGCAGCACTCAGTTGAAAAGAGTTAAGCAGGGCGCTCGGTCCTAGAGAGAGTTGGGTTTCAGAGAGCAGAGCTAAAAAGAAAAAAAAAACGTCATTCCTACAACCCGGAAAAGACCGTGGGATTCATCTGGGAATCCCCTAAAGGTTTTTATGATGGCAGATATTGATTGATCAGTAGGCCTAAGTATGTGGGTAAAATTTAAAATAGCCACCCTGAAAATAGTTCAAACTTTTAGTGACACGTTCTTGTATTAAGCTTTTGTTTTCTAGTGAGAATATCATGTTAATAATCTAAACAGGGGTGCACTTTTTCATTTAAAGAACCAAAAACCAAATATCAATATGAGTCGTGGGATAAATATACCAAACCAGGCCCGGTGCTACGGGGGGCATTGCCTAATTTATTTCACAATATTTAAAAATAAATAAAAAAACTAATGCAGTATAACATTTAATATCATAAATTATTGCAATAAAAACATAACAGTGGTTCAATGCTGAATCTGCCTTTGCCTTGATTTTGCTCACTAAAGTCTCTGCATTGTCCTTTATCCATCAGGTATGTACATTTAAGCTAAATCTGATTCATTTACAATATTTAATTGAAACATTGCACTTCAATTAGCTTTTAAACAAACAAACAAACAAAGATTACATTAATTTTGAAAAGACAATCTCTAAACAGTCCACATCATCCTCCCTCTTTTCAGACAGGATGTCGGGCCAAATATAAGGTTACCGTGGGCATCTCTGATCTAAAGGTTTTTTATGGATTCATCAATGCCAGTGAAGAACCTATTTTTTTTTTTTTACAAAACAGCACACATAATAAAAATTTATCATTGTTGTAAAAGTCTATTTTTTAATGTACCTATTTGTTTTTTTTAAGAGAAAATAACTCAAACTTTACCAAATGGATATTTACATAAAGCTACACAACTCGCTAAGTTTAGTAGTGTATTTTAGAACAATATCTTTTAATCTCCCCATTCCATTTGTTCCTATTTACAATATATTTTCGTTTTAGCCAACTACGTTGTAAACGTCCTTTAGAAATATTGCAGATCTAATGCTTTTAACTGACAGAAAAAACATTTCACAAGTTTCTTTGACAAAAAATTGGTGACAGTATTTTAGAAACTGCTGATCTACTGGGATTTTCACGCACAACCCTCATTAGGATTTACAGAGAATGGTCTGAAAAAGAGAAAATATCCAGTGAGCCGCAGTTCTGTGGGTGCAAATGCCTTGTTGATGCCAGAGGTCAGAGGAGAATGGCCAGACTGGTTCCAGCTGATAGAAAGGCAACAGTAACTCAAATAACCACTCAGCACACTTTGGGTCCATTAGCACCAATTAAGCATTGTGTCAATGCCACAGTTCACTGTACTCAAATGGCCTCCACAGTCACCCGAACTCAGTCCAATAGAGCACATTTAGGATGTGGTGGAATAGGAGACTCGCACGGATGTGCAGCTAAAAAATAGCTTGATGCTATCATGTCAATTTATATTATTTTTAATGATCAAACTCTTTCTGACAAATAAGTAAAACCTAGTGATTTGAAGAAACATATTGTAAAGTTTTAAAATGACAATTAATGGGAGATTTGAGGGTGCACTGTGATCATTTTAGTTATTTAAAATTTGTTAATCTGGTTAATGATTGTTGTTGTAAATATACTAGGCAAGATTTAATGCTATATAAATGAATGACAAAATGAAAAATAATCTATATTTTCACTCAGAAAATAAGAGGACATTGAAAAAACAACAACTATATTTCACTTTTATTGTTTTGATGTTTAAATCATTTTTAAATTCATCACCTTAAAAAAAACACAGTAACACTCAAACATACGCATGTAGAGTTTTATTTTTTTATACATATTACTGTGTCAATGACACATGGTATATTTCTATATACATATGTTTCTCAAATGTACGTTCACTAATGCCACAAAGTACAGTGATATCAAAATGATGTGTGATAGCAAAACCCATCTTAAAATGCGCCATGACGACTTTAATAATCTGAAGCTGTTGGTCTTTTATCGCTGGTATTTTGTGCCACAAACGTCACAATGTCTATCAATAGACATCCTGAGTCAAAGCAACAGGAAATCTGTGATTCAGAGCTGGCATTTGCAACAAATTCTTGAAGAAGATCTACTTTAGAAATAATGACTGGCTGAATTTGTGAAATGCAGTCATTAATCATGTTGTCTAACCTTGACAGATGCTGCTTGCATCAAAGCTCAATGCTGTTTCACACTGAGCCGCAGAACTTGTTTTGCTGTCTTTGCTCTGAGGATGACTTGTAAAAACACAGCTGTAAAATGAGCAGCGCACGTGTTGGATTGGACTGGTGATTTGTTTTTTCTTTTACTGCATTTTACCCTTCTATACATTCATCTGAAGGCCCTGCTCATGACTTTCTCACTCTTTAAAGACATAGTTCACCCAAAAATGAAAATTTGCTCATTATTAGCTTCCCTCAACTGGTTCCAAAAGTTTATGAGTTTCTTTTTTCCTGTAGATATGTTTTAAAAAGCTGAAAACCTGTAACCATTGATTTCCATAGTATTTTCCTATTATGGAAGTCAAAAGTTACAGGTTTCCAGCTTTTTTTTTAAAAAATCTTATTTTGTGTTCAACTGAAAAACTAATTCAAACAGGTTTTTGACTAGTGAACAATGAGTGGCAGAATTAAACATTTCGGGGTGAACTGCCTCTTTAAATACACAATTAAAGTCTTTCCAATCAGATCTCTCTTGCTTTTTCATTTCTACTATGAATGGTAGTCACTATACAATGCGTTTGTATATATACTTCATTGAACAAATTGAATTGCATGCATGAAAAGACAAAGACATTGCAACTCACAGCAAGGGAATCAAAGAGAAAAAAACAACAACTTTTTTTGTCTTTCATTCCCCTAATTTTTTTAGAATGTGGAAAACTCATTTCAATTAAACTGGAGTGATTTGTATGAAACTAATCTATTACCCAAACTACACTGCTACTAAAGTGGCTGTTGCTTTTCAATGTATAAGCAAATGGGAGTCTGAATACACAGACATCTAGACATCCGATGTCTACACATTCTTAAAACAAAGAAAAGGTTGCTGATGCATTCAAAACATTTTCACAATGTATTCACAGCATTATTCCTCTTTCCAGCATTTCCCAGAGTTTTAACCCTCATAATGCATTCGGCTTCGTCTTCTGAACTCTAAAAACCTCTATTGTTTTTAGTATTGGAACAAAACTTCACTGTAAAACTAAGCTAAGTTATTCGTTATTAAGCAACATGGTGGCTCAGTGGTTAGCACTGTCACCACACAGCAAAACGGTCGCTGGTTTGAGTTCCGGCTGGGTCAGTTGGCATTTCTGTGTGAAGTTTGTATGTTCTCCCCATGTTGGCATGGGTTTCCTCTGGGTGCTTCGGTTTCCCTCACAAACCAAAAACATGCGCTATAGGTGAATTGAATAAACTAAATTGGCTGGATGAATTAAGGGACCCTGGATGAATAAAGGGATTAAGCCGAAAGATGATGAAAGAAAATATTAGTTTTTTTTTTTACCAATTTAAGTGGATTAAACATAAAACAATTAAAGGTGCAGTAGGTGATCTGCCTATATGCTAACCGGTTAGCATAATATCTATGAAACACAGTCCCTCACCTGCCGTCCAAAGTCACGACTCCTAATATCATGAAAGCAAGCACCTAAAACATGACAGAGACCCACTAGACTAGATCATGTCATTTACCAGTTAGAAAACTTTTATAGTACTTTATAATACTACAATTCCAAATAAAAAACTGTATTATATCTAGCCCGTTTTCAGTTGTGTAGCAAGCATAAAACATAATGTGCAACATTTAATAAAGCAACCTCTGTATGCTTAGTGCTTGGCCGGCAGCGTGCAGGAATTACACTTATTACTGAGCCATACTTACATGCTAGGCTTATATTAGACCGAATATTCAAAGTAGCATGGTAAACATTATAGGGAGCGCATAACAGGTTGTCATTGTTCAAAAATGATCCATATATGTGAATATAAAACCATCTTCACCTTAGTAAAGCAGGCTAGGCAGAATAGCGCTATTTACCGATGCTTTGTTGTTAAACTAAATAAAAATAACTTATGAAACTGAAAATAGTCACATCAATCTTCCACCAGGAGATCAAGTGCACAAATTGCGGATCTGCGTGAACGGTTGCAGATGTTCAGATCTACATTTGCTGACAGACAGTTTGCGCTACTTATCAGAATTATGGGAGATGTCAGCCCGACACTATTTAACTGGACTATTTAACTTTTTTTTTTGTCTTATGGCTTACCCAGAATATAAAAATACATATAAACACAATTAGATCATTTATTTTAACCATTACTATCGGAATGTGAAGAGGCTTTCAACCAGCACCTTTCAATCACCTACTACACCCTAAAGTTGTCCCCCCAAAAATGCGAAAAAATGTTTAAGAGTTTGCAGATGCATTCATATTTTTTAAGCATTATGTTTTGGGGTATTTCGGTTTGTATGTAATTTCAATTTTAAAAAATGTATAAATTTTGTCAGATAACAAAAAGGTGTAAATACAGTAATACTACTAATAATAACGTCTTTATTACATCCACTCAATAATGATATTTCTTTAACAGATATACAAAGGTCAAAAATATAAAATTATGACTATAATAAAACGACTCTTCAGTTTCAAACTGACTGAATGCATTATGAGGGTTACACAAGCACAGTGTTTGTGATGGCCTTAATGGAGGGAATGAACGTCTGAACATGTGGTACTGATTTCAGCTGCATACCTACAGTTCTGACTGGAATTTACAGGAATAAGGTTATCTAAGTATTATATTAGTAACAAAATATTAGCTTTTTTAACGCAGCATGTCTACAAAATTTTTTATTAAGTGCTTAATTATGGTTGGTTGCCAATATAAAATTCACTAAAGTGCAAACGGTCAATTTTTAAATCTCTTTTACAAATAATTGAGCTCATTTGGTCCGTTTAGAGGCTGATTACTCAGACATTAGTGATCTCTATGCTGGAGTAGCCATGCATGGGGCTGCCCTTGGTCCTTTGCAGGATCTTGATGCGCTCTTCTCTGGGTGGAGATCCACAACCGCCCTGAAACGACAACTCTCTGCTAACAGCCACCAGAGGATTGAATCTCAAAGGGCTCTGAGGAACGACAGAAAAAAAAGGTTATTTACAACAATGTGTAGGTACTAGTGTTGAGCAATTTTTTTATGATACCAGTGACAAATCGATACTTTAAATACAGTATCAGTGTCTAAACAGTGCCTTATACTTTAAAGTCAGAGTGAATTGAAAGTTGCTGTGACTTTTATGTCAGTATGTTGACGTACTTCCAACTGAAATTGCATTGCATGTCCTGTATGGTTTTAAATTGTCACAATGTATTTCACTATAAATGTTGCTTTTTGACAGAATAGTTACAAACCTAATAACGTACCTTCTAAATCATAGTATATTATGCCCTGATTTTCTGTGTCTGCACTTCTTCACTTATACTTGATTAAAGTACAGTCGCTGATACCCATTATTCACATAAACCTAATACAATAGCTGGGTTTCCATATTGTTGAAATGAAGAAAAAAAAAAATAATTCATTGAATTTACTACATTTTTAAGGGGTTGCAAACAATTTATATGGGCTGAATTTGAACAAACAAATTCAATGTTCAACTTAATTAGTTTGTTTAAATCCAGCTCATGTTTTCAACCACTTACCTCAAAAAATTTTGTAAATCCAATGAATCATTTTTTTCATTGTGTGTTAATGCACATTTTGAAGTACCACATAAGAAATGAGTGTTGGAAATGTCAAATTTGGAAAAAAAAAATTCTTAATTTGCAAAAAAAGTTTTTGAGGTAGTTTTGGACTTTTTTGAAAAAGGGTTAATGTGACTAAAGGGAGATGAAAACTCATTTGCCAAAAAAACTCTGACTTAGCAAATATCACACCCATTATGCTTGCCTTGTTTACTGTTGGTAACTATAATAGAGTCAGGAGCTCAAATAACTTGATGCAAACACACTTAATTTGCTTACTTAATTTTTTTTTACTTTTGAAAAGGTTCAATTGATGCTAGGATGGAAACCCACCTAGTAACTCTTGGTTCATCAGCTTGCAGTAAAAACAAGTCACACCCACTGTTTTCTCATTTAATATTCTGTTTCTCTAGGAACTGCGTCACAATAAGAAATAAAAAACGGTCGCAGCTTCCAGTTCATGTGGACTTTAACAGCCCTAATAAATTCTGGCATCATGTTAAAAAAAATGAGTAGCGCAGAAACGATTCAAAGCTCTTGTGTGAGCTGCTTATACATCATCTACAGTTAACAATCAGGCTGTGTGTGTACAGTATGATATATTTTTTGTATTATTTTACTTACAGACCATTTTTTTAAAACATACACTTTAAAAACAGCTTATTAACATTTTATTAACAGCTTACTTTTTTAAAGTTTTCTGCTTATTTATGGTTAGGAATTTCATTATGGGACACTGATCTCTGCTCTGTGAACTTTTGATGTTGAACGTTCAACTCTGCAGTTTAACAGAGTGACTTTTATTGACATTTTAGTAGTTTGAAACAATGAATTATACACACTCAGAAATAAAGGTACAGAATCTGTCACCCTTTAATAGTTTGAAGTGATATATTGCCTGGATTGGTATTGTAATTTATGGTAAAATATGGCAATAAACTATCAGTATTTTTTCTGTATATGCAGTATAAAATCTGTCACTGGGGTGGTATCTTTTCAATAGATACATTTTTGCACAGCACAGGTAGACATTATAACTTTTAGAATACACTTTTGTATGCAAAAATACTGTTATGTTAGTATTAATATGTACCTTTAAAGACCTATTAGGAACAAAAATGTACCTTTTGAAAGAGAACCACCCCGGTGACAGATTTTATATTACATATACAGAAAAAATAATGACAGTTTATTGCTTTTTATCGTAATTTACAGTACCAACCCAAACAATATATTACTTGAAACTATAAAAAAAGGTCTAAAAGAGTCACCTTTTTAAACTTTCAAACATCAAAAGTTTTAGGAGTAAAAGTCCCATAATTTAATTTAATTTCATAAACAATTGTTAAAATACATAAAGAAGCAAGTTTCCAATCATCTACTTCTCTTGTTTCTGCATTAAAGGTTCAGGACACCCCGGAGAACTTTTTTTTTTATATTAACAGATGTGTGTGTGTTGAGCATCAGTTAAGACAATGTTTGCACCTGTCAGCTTTAATTGTGGGGAAAACTGGATAATTTTGAGCTTTTGTCAGCTAATTTCAGCTTCCGGGTTTAAAATGATTTTTGGGGCGGGATCAAAATCGGCGACGTAGCGCAGAACTGCAAGTGCAATGATGACGCGTCGGTTTCTCATTATTATTCATAGCGGAGTTTTCTTATCCTATGAGAAGAGCCGGCTGCTTAATTATTCATGAGACCTGCTAGACCTGCCAGTGTCAAGCCCGAGCTGAGAGACACGGAAACCACGGCACAGTATTTAGCCGTTCATGAAGGCTCATATGCGTTTGTTTCCATCATCCACGGGGTTTGTTGCATGTTTTCCCCCGCGATCTTGTCAGGGCCGATCATACAGCAAAGCTGTGTGCGTGCTGCTAGCATTTTTGTCGGGAGAGCAGCACGAGAATTAGAGAATGGCGGACGCTGTGTTTTATCAGGAGTTCGTTCACATTCAGACACATCGCCGTGCTGCTGTGTTTGCCTAAATCCTCCAGATTACCAGCAGGGTTAATGGTTAAAATAGACGGGTCAGGAGACCTGCTGCGCTGAGTCTGCTGGATACGGGAATTGAGGGAGAAGTCCTCATTTATAGTGTTTACATGAACACACATCTTTATAATGATATAAATTGTGGTTGTCTGTATATGAAATTACGAATAACAAATGTAGCAGGGCATTAAATCACTGTTCATTTCTTTGCATTTTAACTTTGTAAACTATAAACTCATGCATCTCCTCTTTGTGTCTCATTTTGTGAGCTAAATGACAACAGCCTGCTGGCCACGCCCACTCCTGCCCGATGCTCGCGGAGCTCCACGCCCATTAATCATGCATCTTTTGAAAAAATTCTGAAGTAGACTTTAACCGAAAGAGGGGGGTGTCATGGCCCTTTAAATACAACAGCTCTGGTATTGTAGAGGCACTGAAGTGAGACACCGATATCTGCATTCTGATTCAGTCTGTTGCTTACCAGTCAAATTGGCAGCATGTTTCATTACCCAACCCTAGTAGGCGCACAGAAAGTTCACAATTTTTCTATATTGTGTCAATAACAGGACAGCTCATACCTTGCCAACATTTTTCCTGGGAGAAAATCCCTCCTCGGTTTTACGGCAGTTTGACGAAGGAGAATGTGTTGGAGTGCCCTCTTTTCTGTAATCCTGAGCCTGATTAGTTCTGGAAGACAGAAACAGCACTTACTCACACTCTTACAAGAGTCCTTTTATGTTTCTTACACTTGCTACATCCAACTTTACTGTTAGAAAACATCTAATGACAGCAATGTGGATATGTTTGCACAAGCTCTGTGAAAAATTCAGCAGCATTATGTTGACAGATGAGGTCATTAAATTACACTCTTATGAAAGTTTGATTAGTATATTTAAGATTAAAGACTATACAGATTAGGTGTGTCTACATGAGACTGTTGTTTGAACTAATACCTTTCTTTGTATGATGTATTGACACTACAATACACTACAACCTGACAAAAGTCTTGTCTCTGCAATGACTCAAATCACTTCCGGTAGCAAAGAATGCTGGCCCAGATTTGGCATAAAGCTGGCACAGCAAGCATTCCACTGGCACTGGCATACAGCATGTGGGCCAAACAGGGCCCGGGATTGTCAGAGGTGGCACCGTCTTTGAAGGGTCACGAAACACCAAAACACATTTTATGAGCTGTTGACAGTCATATATGTGTCCCATACTGCTTAAAACACTAATAGGACACATATATTTCACTAAAAAGTGAAAATAGTTTTTTGCATTGTTTCGAGCAAATTCGTGCTTCCAGTTTGAAATTAATTTTTGAAGCTGCGTCACGGCCATGAGATCTTAGCGTGTATTCCAGCGTGTAAACTGGACGTCTGTACCTGGGAGTACTGTGCTACGTCTCTGAGTGTGTTGCATTCATTCATGTGTGTGACTTGATTTAAACCAATTAGCGCGCTCTGTATGCGCTGCAACTTCATTAATATGCATGATAGCTTTAAAGACTGTACCTGAAACAGTGTTCAGATAGCAGAGAGGCGCCACGTGGTGTTGCCATAAGAAGTGGGAAAAGATTAAGAATTGTTTGGAGATATGGGTCGTCAGTGTTTCTTTTATAATTTGCTGCAGTGAAGGTTTCGTTTTCATTTTCTCTCTATAAGAGCGCTGCTGGACTCACGTGTGGATCAGTGCACGTGACACACGGCAGAAATACGTTTGTACAGAACATTTTTTACTCGAGAGCTTTTCGCATCTGGAAATTGTGAAATCTGGATTTGCTGCTCATCTCCTTTAAAAAAAGACGCAGCTCCAGAATGTGATGATTGTCCTGTCTCTACAGATTTGGTAAGTGTGTGCGATCAGCGCTCTTTCTTTGTTCATTCAGATGGCAAAGTTATAGTTTGTATCGTCAGCAGTACTCTTTCAGTGTGTAAAGACAGACCTTAGTCAAAATGATTTCTAAGTTACTTAGTTTACAGTAATATCACTACAATATTATGGACTGATAGATCCGCTGTAAATGCTGCTCCCTGAGTGTAAACGTGAACACTGCAAGCAAACTATTACTGACAGTCGTGATTAATTTTCGCCGCATTTTGTGACAGGATTGTCTACACACACATGGCTTTCTGACCTACCAAGTTCATCTGAGTAACAGAGAAATGCAGAGGTTTTTTCTCTTATACGACGTGCGGTATCAAACATTCCACCGTCATTAAACATAGTCAGTGTCTTTCTCTTGTGCATGTGTTTTTTTTTCTTCTGTGAAAATCGGCACGTGCCTAAATTGAAACTCCCATTTTTATTCAAATCCTTCCCCTTTTCCCTCCCCCGACACTCACACCCAAACAAAGAGAGACACACCCACTTTCCTGACTTTTTCCTAACTAGAGGTGTGAAAAATCGGAAAAATCTACCTTCTGCCACTTTTCCGAATAATCAACTAGAAGTCAAGTTATTATTTGTTGCTCTTACAACTAGGATCAACGATAACACTTTTCTCAGGTAGTGTCCAGAACGCTTTCTCAGCATTATCATTAAAAAAAATTGGTTTCAGAGAAGAGAAAGGTGCAGTTTTATTTGTTTTGCTACAAATAGTTTATACACTGTTTGAAAATAAATATATTTTTATCTATTTCTCTGTGAATATATATAATATGTTTTGGTACATTTGAACAAAACAGATTTAACAAACCAGATATATTAATTGAAATAATACTTTAGTCACCAAAATCATTAGAAATAGAACGAGAATACATTTCAATTAATGCAAAATATTGCAAAATTTCAACCCAATTTAAAAAAAAAAAGTTTAATATTTTTTTCTAACATACACTAATTTTTGGACTGTTATTGTACATTATTATGTTAGATTAGCTCCATGTTTGGCTTTAATACTTAGTAGTCTAATGTATATGCACATATAATATTGTAAAGCATCCTTTTAAAAAAATGTAAAGGAGAGATTTGTGAGGGGTGTACTCACATACACTGAGCACTGTAAGTAGATACAATAACATTTCTATAACCACTTTAATTATTGAATTCCTACAAAAGAAATGCAGCTGCACAGACCTTGCTGGATTGAGAAGCACTTTCATTTCCTCGTACAGATGACGGTGGATCATGTGTTTGTTGTTGGGGATGTCGAGAGCTTTAGCCATGCTGTCTGCACTGAAGGTGGGATCCAGAACCATCACAGCACCATGGATGCCACTGTTCTGAAGGTTATCAGCATACTCCTAAAAAGACACAACAGCTATTATATATCACAGTACATGTCTTACTTTCTAAGCAGTAAATATTGATACTTTTTCTCAGTTCTTTGAGCCATTTGGGCATAGTGAAATGGGGATTATGTCTTCAACTTCTTTTTGGGTCAATTATTTCCAATAGCTACTGTACATATTAATGGTGAGTAAAGCTATTTTGGTAACACTTTACAATAAGGTTTTATTAGTTACTTGATGTATTTACTAACCTGATCCTACAAGGAACAATACATTTATTAGAATATTTATTTACATTGGTTCATGTTAGTTAATGAAAATAAAATTGTTCATCGTTAGTTCATATTAACTCATGGTGCATTAGCTAATGCTAACAAGCACAAGTTTGGATTCTAATAATGCAGAATTATGATTAATAAATGCTGTACAATTATTGCTCATTATTAGTTAATGTTAGTAAATACATTAACTAAGGAAACTGTATAGTAAAATGTGACGCCTATTTTTATAGTTCAAGAACAATAACATTTTACATTATTGTTTACTAGTCAAATAACAGATACATTTGTAGGCCTTCATCTGATGTGCGCATCACACTACATTTATTAAATATAATACAAAACATTATAAATGGTAATGAATTTTCACAGTATTACTGTTTTTCCAATAAATGCTACCTTGTTGAGACTTCATTGAAAAATATATTTAAAGATTTTATTGATTTTGAATATTTGAACAGTAGAGGACATTGTATGAGCTTTGCATTTAATTCTTTTCCCACCTTAAGATCAATATCCCTGATCCATTTAATGACGCGATGGCTGGTCCAGACCACCGGATCCAGATCTCGATTCTCGCATTGAGTGCGACGTGCCTGTATAGACTGCAGAAATATAACAATACCACAAACCAGTCAGATTATTTTACAATTTCACCAACAATATTTACTCTAACATTTCACCGTTTCAAAGTGATTGCAACAGTATACACTTGAGGTCAGAATTATTAGCCGCCCTGTTTATTTTTTCCCCTAATTTCTGTTTAGTTGAGAAAATATTTTTTTCTGCACATTTGTAAACATAATAATTTTAATAACTCATTTCTAATAACTGACTTATTTTATCTTTGCCATAATGACAGTACATAATATTTGACTTGATATTGTTCAAGACACTTCTATTCAGCTTAAAGTGGCATTTAAAGGCTTAACTAGGTTAATTAGGTTAAATATGGCAATTTGTTGTGTAATGATGGTCTGTTCTGTGTAGACTATTAAAAAATAAAGCTTAAAGGGGCTAATAATATTGACCTTAAAATGATCTTCAAAAAAATTCAAAGCTGCTTTTATTCTAGCCTAAATAAAACAAATAAGACTTTTTCCAGAAGAAATAATATTATCAGACATACTGATATTAAATATACAAAGATATACAAATATTAAAAAAAGAAAAACAAAAAATTAAGAGAGGTGCTAATAATTCTGACTTAAACTGTACATATACAGTATGGAACGCCCCGTTATTGTGTTCACATCAAATTAAAATGACAAAAGAAATCATATTAAATGCAAAAATGTTTTTAAAAAAGGTTTTTACTATCAAATCCCATGACAACCTTAAAACATTTAGCAATTATGGGTGTACCTCACACAGGTGAGTGGCTTTGACAAACCACCCATAAAAAACACACTCTTTCATCTCTCTGAGACTTTAACTCTTGCACCAGACAAGTACTTACCATCACTCCATATCTATATAAACAAATGCTGTGCATTTGTTGATGTACACAAGTTGAGGTATACACAAGTTGAGTAGTGAGTGGGCTTGACAAACCAAAACATCTTCTCTCAAAAAACATTAAAAAAACAACAAAAAGAAACCCTCCCCCTCCTGACTCTAGCACCTAATTCTCTAAGCACTGGAAGTTGCTTTAATTAGCACTTTTTGTGTTTATTGCCTGTTAAATTGCTAATTGTCTCCTCAAATGTATGTCACTTTTGGACAAAGGCATCTTCTAAATGACTAAATGTAAATGTAATACTGTCTGTAAAAAAATGGGTGAAATAATGTTCAGTCATAATTTATGGTTACAGATATTTATGTAAAAATGAATTATATATATCTCCATCCTAATACTTGAACAGCTGTATAAACGAATTCTTGCCTCTTTGTCGAAATTGAGCATTTGCAGAAGCTGGATGGCTGACAGGATGCTGGTGACATGGAACTTGTTGGTGATGTTGAAGACGGTCTCCAGGTCTCTGCGTGTGATGGAGTTCAAAACTCTGCCATCCACCAGCTGGTTGTGAAAGACCTGTGAATACTGCGGCAGCCCGACGTCACTCAGCCAGCTCTTAGACACCCAGTGATGGTCCATATCTGCAGCTTTAGACAGGCTGTGGGACAACACAGAAACACTATAGCAATGCTTAAAGGGGCTGGATAATAAGACTAAAAAGTGATCTCTATCACTATTTGCATATTAGTGGAGATCAATAATTTGCCTGATACGTGTCTAATTTATATTTCTTCCAAGTTTTAAAGGAATATTTTTACTCCTGAGTAAAATTTGTAGAAAACAGTCAGTTACTTTTTTATTTAAACTACTCCTTTTATTGCCAAATCGTGTGAGACATTGAGAAAAATATCGTTTTCCCTATTTAATGTATTCACATAATAATACATTTTTATAAAACGTGATAAAACTCACAATCTTTTGACAGCCTTATGCCTTAAAATATCATAACAGAGAAATACATCTTTAACAGCATGCATGTTCTAACGGGTGATATAAAAAAAAGAAACAGGTTTTTGCAACTTTAAAGACAGATGTACATTTATCTGCAGTAAAGCAATAATGTAAAGATTACTTTGTTTAAATGTTAAATATATTAAAGACAAAAGATTTGATAATTAATTTTAGGAAGGCTGCTCACATACAGGTATTAATTCAGACGGTTAAAAGTGCAATCATACAAATACCTTGGCACAATCATTCACTCTAAACTCTTCTTTCATGAGAATCGTAAAGCAGTGTGTAAAAAGAGGCATCAGCGACTATTTTGTTTGAGAAGTTGAATCATTTTCATTTTGATAAACACATGATGATTTTATTTGACCATGCTTTTCTTGAATCCATTTTATCTTTCACTTTAGTGTCATGGTTTGGGAATCTTTCTGTTAAGAATAAAACACACTAAATCAAATAGGCTGTGTATACACCAGACAGCTTAAAAGAATTACAAATTCAATTTTAAGTGACACTGCTTATCCCAACTTTCAGCTCCTTCTTTCTGGTCACAAGTTTCTAGTGTCAAGCTGTAGAACTTTACGATGTACAATAGCTTCATACCAGCAGCCATTAGACATTTAAATAAGGCATTGACTAAAGCAGAGGTGTTTCTGTGACTTATTATTTTTATTTTATATACTTATTATTTTTATATTATTTTTATTAAACGTATTATTTTTATACGTTTATTTGACATTTTATAGACTGTTTAAAACATTTATTTGAGGAGGTGGACACTTGAAGTGACTATTGAGTTATTCTTTATAAGTGTTTGGTATGTTTATGTTTTAAGTCTTTATGTCCAGTTGTTGTTGCAACTCTGTGAGTTTTTGTGTGTGTGTGTGTGTGTGATATGGTTATGAAATGAGGACTCTTGACTGTAACCTAACCTAACCTAACCTAACCAAAATTACTTCATCTGAAAAAAAAAAAAAAAAAAAAAAAACTCAATAGTTAATTTATTTACTTTACTTGTTAAAAGCTGGTTAAAATCTTAAAATAGACAATACAAATTACACTTTTCTTTTATTTATTATTTGAGTCAAACAGAGCCTTATAGATTTAGTAAAAATGTGAAGCATTATATTCAATATATCAAATTCAAAAGATAAAACATTTCAAAGTAATGAAACAATATTTCATGAATATCTTCTATATTATATTGACTTTCATTTCTTACTCGGTTCATTGTTTGTTAGACATGTTACTATATTCAAAATATCCGAATAACAGAAAATAATACACTTGTCTAAATTTATACCATATATTATCGTGCACTAACTTTTAACTCGATCTACAGTTGAACTGGTCCACAGTTAGAAAAATAGAATTATTCTAAAAATATTAGTATAAGTAATAAATATAATAATTTTTTTCTGGACTGTTGAACATATGTACAGTATTTAAGGCAAGTACATTATAGACAAATGTATTTAAATTATCTTAAAATGAAAAGTAATGCCTTACTTATAAAAAAGTCAACAAATTAGAGTTACCAGCTACTTTGCTACTCATTACATTTAACACTTCACTTTACCATGTTAAAAGGTAGATATGTGCTTAATTGTATGAAAAACGCTAGCTGAAATACATTTAATATAAATGTCATGGGCAAACAGGCTGTGTGGTGCAAACCTCATTTAGCTCCACTTAAAGCATAAACATTAAACCCATCACGTGTTATTATTTTATGAAGAGAGAAAGATATTGCAATGATTAGTATTATTATGATTTTAAGGCCTCACCCTCGTCCATTCTCTGCTTCTCTGTAGTCCTCAATGGCGAGTCTGAGCTTCCTGCGGTGCATAGGACTGTTAATGCCCAAACCCAGCTCCAGATCCTCATCGCTCAATCCCAGCAGCACCTGCAACAGGAAACAGCTGCCTGTGACATCATGACTGCAGCTGTGCAGCAAATATTACTAGAGTGATCATTAACCAGATTCATGTCAGCGAGGCTTTAGGGAAGTAAATATTTGTAGGATAAAGTACTGTTTAGGGGCCACAGAACCCAAATCGCTACCTGCATCAAGGAGAGGATTATTAGATGTGCTTATTCACATTTCTTATTTATTTTTGCTTTGAACAAAGCCTCTTATGCTAGCCTTGGATGCATTTATTATATTGGAATAAAGTGTAAAAAATGTTTGTTAGTGCTCCCATTTATTTTATTAGCAATGCTACACTTGTGGTCCAACATAATATTTGTGGGAAAAGGGTTAATATATTTATAATATAGCAGCTAGAACTGATGCTCAAAAGGTTTTTATGATCACTTATTCATTCATTTTCCTTTAACTTAGTCCCTTATTCATCTGGGGTCCCCACAGCAGAATGAACCATCAACTATTCCAGCATATGTTTTACACAGCAGATGCCTTTTCAGCCGCAACCCAGTACTGGTAAACACCCACACTCATTCACTCATACACTATGGCCAATTTTGTTTACCCAATTCACCTATGACGCATGTCTTTGGACTGTGGGGGAAATCGAACCGCCAGGAAACCCAGCCGAACACGGGGAGAACATGCAAACTCCACATGAAAATGCCAAATGGTCCAGTCGGGACTCGAACCAGTGACCTTCTTCCTGTTAGGCGACAGTTCTAACCACTGTGCCACCAGTTTTATTACTCATATGAAGTATATACTGTACATCTCTGAGGACAAAGCGGCTAAAATACAATTATACTGTAGATTGTAAAAAAATATGTCAAAAAGGCATGACTAAAACTGTTTTTGTTACTCTAACTTATTTGAAGTTAATCAGGTTTCAACTAAAATTAAAAGTTCTGCAAAGTTTAACTTCATATTTTTAGACAGTTTGATTGATATAATAGTTTAGATGACTAGACAATTTCATTTGATTCGAGTAAAAAATTGAAGGCAGCAAGAATTTTTACAGTGAAATAATTGTTTCAATTTAAAATAACGTTCATATTTTATTTTACATGTAATGAACTATTATCTTCATTACAAAACTATATTTTCAACAGTTTTAACGTGAAACAGTACTAGAAACATTTCTTCTTATTTTCAATGTTATGTGCAGTTTAAATGGATAGTTCGCTGAAAACTGATCATTTACTCACTCTACTCATTTCAAACTGCTTTAAGTTTATCTTTTTTTTATTTGTTGAACACAAAATATATTTTGAAGAATGTTATCATTGACTTCCATAGTATTTTGTTCCTACACTGAAAAAAAATATTCAAAGATGATTCCTTTTTACTACATTTTTTAAGGTTAAGTGGTTGTAAACAATTTATTTAGGCTGAAGTTAATCAAATAAATTAATTCATTCATTTTCTTGTCGGCTTAGTCCCTTTTTTAATCCGGGGTCGCCACAGCAGAATGAACCGCCAACTTATCCAGCAGGTTTTTAGGCAGCTGATGTCCTTCCAGCCGCAACCCATCTCTGGGAAACATCCACACACACTCATGCACTATGGACAATTTAGCCTACCCAATTCACCGGTACCGCATGTCTTAGGACTATGGGGAAAACCAGAGTACCCGGAGGAAACCCACGCGAATGCAGGGAGAACATGCAAACTCCTCACAGAAACACCAACGGACCCAGCCCGAGGCTCGAACCAGCAACCTTTTTGCTGTGAGGTGACAGCACTACCTACTGCGCCACTGTGTCGCCTCAAACAAATTAAGTTGAACATTACTCAATTTAATTAACTTAAATTCAACACAAATTGTTTGCAACATTTTTTTTCAGTGTTCACTGTAAAAAGCAATTAGTTGACTTTATTTAAGATAGTTTTATATTATAAAAAATTATTTAACGTAACAGTTCCAAGTTACAATGGGTTTACTTATATTGTTTTTAGGTGAAGTTTTTTGGGGAACTATACCTTTAATGTCTGCTCTCTATAAATAAATATTTAAATAAAGGTATGAGAGCTGTCAATAGGGTGGTACCTTTTCAAAAGGTTTGCATTTGTACCTAAAAGGTCCATATTAATATTTCATGGGTACATATTAGTGCCTAAAAAGTACAAAAGTGTACCTTTCAAAAATTGTAGCTACAAATATGTTTTTGAGGTACCAATATGGACCCTTTAAGTATAAATGTGTAGGGTTTGAAAAGGTACCACCCTTGTGACAGCTTGCGTACCTTTATTACTGAGAGCGTATGGAAAAAATTAATAAATTCAGTATTATTGTGAAATACTGCTACAAATTAAAACACAGCTCTACCAGTAATTGATTTATGTGATTGCACAACCAAATTGTTAGCATAAAAAGTATGCATCTTCATTAACATCAGTGTAAAAGGGTCTGAAATACAATACATTAAAAGAGCAGTCATAAATGAAGAGCAGAGCAGCATTTACCTTTCCGCTCTTAACATTGTCAGAGCAGGCGCGCATGTACATTGGCATGGCCATGACCACCTCCAGCCAGGCCTGCACAGTGCCGGCTCTCCACAGAGACATGGGCCTGCTGCGCGTCAGCTCTGCCTGCTGCAGTCGCTCCAGCTGATCCTCGCCGTCCGATAGGCTGGGCTGTGTCTGACTGGAGACGCTGTCTGAGTCTGGATTGGTCAGGAACACCAGGAGGTTTACAGGGGCCGAGAACAAAACAAAACCGGCTTATCCACTTCATTTAACATCTATACACAGACATCCTCTATATACTATAAGAGCAGGTTGACTATATTATAATAACTTTAACTGTTAAAAGCTATTCGTAATTAGTTAAAGTTATGGTAATATAACCTTAGCTTTTCTGATTTTATTTGTAATGCACCTTCTGTAGAGTTGCTTTGAAACAGTAATAATTGTGAAAAGTGCTATACAAATACACTTCAATTGAACTGAACTGAATGATCCATCCTGCACATACAAGCTTTTTTTGAAAAATAAATAAATATATATATATTTAAATATATATAAATATATAAATATATTCTGCTCTTAAGGGAAGGCACTGCAGATGAAAAAAACTATTTTATTTTATACACCTGTTCATTTTGGTGTATTTTTTCAGTCTAATGTAAGAAAACATTCAGAATATACTAAGTGTTTCTTTTGTTGCAACTTATCTTGTTGTGTATGCTATTAAACTATACTTTTATTTTTATTTATATTTTTATTCTCAAACTGAGTTGAGTTTCATGCACTGAGGGATAAAGCTCCGCTTCAGCAGCACTTACAGATTTATTCATATCTGTATTCTGAAGGATTTTACAGTGGGATCATAAACAATATGCCTGATTTAATACAAGTTTTATTGAAGACCTTGAAAATGTATACTTTTTGCTGTATTTTCTTAATCTTGGTGGCAAAAAAGTGTATTTTCCTTTAAAATATTTAATTGAGTCAAAATTTTGAATCAAACTTCATCAAATATTTTTTGCTAGAAGTAAATGAATACATGTTTAATAAAACGGCCTAATTGAACATAATATTTTAGAAAACTGTTAAAAATACTTTGTAATACAACAAAAGCCTGCAATTCCTAATGTGATGAGTCAACTAAAGTTTGCTGAAAACTATTAGTTGATATTTTACCCTATTCAGCTGTAGTGTCTTGCCTCAAAAGAAGCTTCTAAAATGACTTACTCTCTCTTAGTGAAAAGCGATGACCGCATGTGTCGTGTGGTCAACATTGGCAGATATGATCTATTCTGATTTCACCCAGACACCATGCCAAGCAAAACCACTTCCTCGTTCACCACCTCTAACTTTCACTGTACTGAAACCACTCTACTTCCTTCCCCATCCTGTGATCAATTTGCATTGAGTATAATGTGTGTTTTTGTGCTAATTTATATTCTAGCATTGTTTATTGGTTTACAAAAATAAATAAATAAATAAACTAAAAAAAAATCCATGTCATCAGTGTTGTTTGTGTTATATAGTGCATAGACTACAAGGAATATAAATACACTACTGGTATAACGTTTGGGTTCAGGTTTCTTTTTTTTTATTAGTCTGTTTATCAAGGCAGCATTTATTAAATGTAAAAAAGTTCAATTGTTAAATATTTATTAAAACTTTAAATAACTGCTTTCTTATTGTATATAGTTCATTCATTCATTTATTTTCTTTTCGGCTTAGTCCCTTTATTAGTCTGAGGTCGCCACAGCGGAATGAACTGCCAACTTATCCAGTACGTTTTAACGCAGCGGATGCCCTTCCAGCCGCAACCCATTTCTGGGAAACATCCATGCACACTCATTTACACACATACACTATACGGACAATTTAGCTTACCCAATTCACCTGTACAGCATGTCTTTGGACTGTGGGGGAAACCGAAGCACCTGGTGGAAACACATGCGAATGCAGGGAGAAGATGCAAACTCCACACAGAAACGCCAACTGACTAAGCTGAGGCTCGAACCAGTGACTTTCTTGCTGTGAGGCGACAGCACTCACATGTTATTGTTATTGTGCAATAACATTTCACAATTTTACAATTAGTACTGTATTTTTAATGAAATAAATGCAGTTTTGATAAGCAGGAAAAACTTATTATAAAACATTTAAAAATCCTACTGACCCCAAACCTTTGACTGGTAGTGTAGCTAAAACAAAGGATATTTAAAATATATATATTTTTAACACCCATTTTAGTATCAAAAAATATTTTAGCAAAATATTTCCCAAGTAGCTGAAATAAAATATTTGGAAACAAAAATGTTAGCAAAAAGAAAATATTTATATTTATTGCTAAAATAAATAATTAAAACTAAAATAAAAAAAATATATAAAGCAAAACAACATAAACAAAAAACAATAAAAATATGAAGTCTAAAAAAATAAGGAATCCAAAAATGTGTTACTGGTTGACTCTAAAATAAAAATAAAATAATAAATTTTCACCATGAAATATTTACAATTTAATAAAATATGTTTACTTGTTGCAGCTTAATAATAATTTCTTAATTTTACAAGCTTTGTTGTGTGAAATGATTTTTTTTTAAATCCTAAAATTGAAAATAAATTGTGTATATAAACTGTATATGTATATAAAATGTATCAACAGTATAGATATAAAACATATATACAGTAGAAGTCAGAATTATTAGCGCCGTTTTTTCTTCTTCTGTTTTACAGAGAGAGAAAAATGTCAACACATTTCTAAACATAATAGTTTCAATAACTCATTTCTAATAACTGATTTGTTTTATCTTTGCCATGACGACAGTAAATAATATTTTACTAAATATTTCAAGACACTTCTATACTGCTTAAAGTGACATTTAACTACAGTAGGTTAGTTAACGTAAATAGGCAGGGTAGGGTAATCAGGCAAGTTATTGTATTATGATGCTTTGATCTGAAAAAGCTTAAAGGGGCTAATAATTTTCACCTCAAAATAGTTTTAAATAAAGAAGAAAAAATATTATAAGACATACTGTGAAAATGTGCTTGCTCTGTTGAACATCATTTGGGAAATATATATATATATATATATATATATATATATATATATATATATATATATATATATATATCAAATTAATGTCCATATTATAAATTGACCCATAATAGCCATTTAGCTGTCTTTTAGATTTCACATATAAATGTCTGAAAGTTCCTGCATTTACCATAAAATCAGTCGATAGATTTGATTGTGCTACACAATTCTGTAAAACCTGTAGTTTGAGCTCTAGACCAGCAGGTGTCACCCGACAACCGAGCTAAAGCAGCTGCAGTGGCGTCATCTCTAGTCATTTTACATTTTTTTTTTTTTTGGCTAATATTGACTTACAGCTTGTGCTTTACGTTCGGTTCAGTTTCTAATAAAGCCCTCCTAATTCTTAAAGGGTGTCTTGGAGGATTTAAAACAAGACTGAAGTCACCCTGAGGGTTCAGACCCTCTTAAAGCTTCATCAGATTTTAATTAGCTGAAAAAATTACCTCTATAAAACTCATTATCTGATGGGCACCGGGCAGAGGACACCTATTTCCAACCTTCAGAGGAAAAAACACTCGTCTAAAGCCTTGACCTTGTGCGAGACATCCGAAAGATGAATTTTAATGGAGATCGCAATCTGTTTCCATTTCAAGTAATAAGAAGGAAAAACCCAATCCATCCGAGTTTACTGTCGAGCACCCTCCATCATCATCATCCTGGAAATAGAAAGCTCTCATCTCAAGTAGGCCTATATTACCTGCCTTTTCTGAGATTTAAATATATAAATCCTTATAAATGTACAGTTTTTAAATAGACACTTAATGGAAGGGTTAGTTCACCTCAGAATGACATTTCTGTCATCATTTACTCACCCGCATGTCGTTTCAAACCCGTATGACTAAAGTTCATCTTCAGAACACATATCGAGGTATTTTTAATTAAAGCTGAGAGACTTTGAAAGTCCATTGAAAATCTGTTCTCTCAAAACTTTAGGCTATGCTTCTGAAAGGAATAAAAATAAATCTATACATATCAAACATCTAATCCAAATCTGCTGATGAAAAAATATAGCTTTAAAGTAATATCAGGAACTGTTTTCATTTATTTCATTTTTTCATATACTTTTGCTTAGCCATTAGCCAGAATCTGATGCTCAATCATACCAACTTGTAAAGGGGGTGAATAAAACTCATTGGTTCTAGCTTGAAGCAAGAATATTGGCGCGTCCCCTTTTACTATTAATACTGATACATAATGCTATAAACATTGATTCATTCATATTAATTAATAATAATAGATAGTACTATAAAAAGTTTGCTGATCAATATCTATATGCGAATAATACTGTCATTTGTACATAGTCTTCATAGTACTTGGATTAAAATGCTTAATTCATATGGATAAGTTTTTGATTAACGATAAGGTAGCTGGTTTCTGAAATGAAAACTTTGGAAATTTTCTAGTTAGTTCCGTTTTCAAAATATTAATATCATTTGATGATCTTCACTTCATGAAAATAAACTGGCTGAGATAACACATTTTTGTATTTTTCATAGTTTTAAATAGTTCTGACTTGAGTTTCATATAGATGCAGGGGCATCGGACTGGTGGCAAATAAAGTTTGTTTACATTATATTATTATTATTTGCCATGTTATTCGTTTTTTTAACTCTCTGAAAATAGACTGTGAAAATAAATCTTTATAAGTCTTGAGTTTTTGATTAGGTGTTGTGTTGTGGGGGGCCAGTCATTCATACAACAGTTCTGTCTGGTTTTTGAATCTGATTGTTAATAGACGTGCAATTTTTTGCCAGTAACAGCACTCGCCCAGCCTCTTAACCCTTCACCCTTGTGTATTACTCTGCCCACATACAGCGACAAGCAGAGAACACTCTAGAGTTTGACAAATATTGCTGCTGTTGGATATCATAATGTACTTTTAAAGCCTTTTTAGGCGAGGATGTAGTTGTTTAGTTTGCAACTATGCAGTTTGCATAGTTGTGCCTAAAAATAGTGCCTAAGTCAACGCGTTGGCAGCCATTAGCCTGTCTTTGAGCAAAAACAGTAGACGATGTTCATCCAGAAGATGGCAACAGAGACTGGATAATAAGCCCTAAGAGGAAAAACACAGTAATTTCAAACTACAGCTGATCAAATCATTATTAA